CCATCCATCCATCCACCCCCTTAAGATTCTTTCTTTTGCATCTTTAATCTCTTGAAATGCTGTTTCACCATCTCCCCTTAAGGGTCCCCAGCAGAGGGTCTCCTTCTGCTCTGGGTTTGGTCTGCTGACGCTGGCTCACGGTGCACAACTTCCTTGTGTGTTTGGGTCTGTGGGCTCATCTGCAGACAGTGTGGGTTCAGTGGTCTTTTGGGAAGTACATTAGGAGCTTGCTTCTTCTCAGTGTGCCTGGGAAGGGGCAGTACCGGTTTTACACCATTTCTGACGTTTCTTTCTCAGCCTGCGGCTTCCGGGCCGCGTGGGGCTCTCAGGCACCGGGCCAGGCTGTGCCGGGTGTGCAGAACAGTGCATGGCAAGGGCTAACCTGTGCCCTCTAAGGTAAGTCTGACCTCTGCCCGGCTCCTGGAAACGGCTGCTGGAGCCTTGGGATAGCCTCCTGGTAAGACTTTGCCTGGGGACTGTGCTTCCTACCAGCTAGCCTAAGACGTGTGATCAAAATATATGGTGACTGTTTAAATTAAAAAAAAAAAAAATTTATTCCAGTGCCATGGATTTTCCTTAGAATCTTCACTCTTACTTTGAACACACTGATGCCATGATTCTGGCCACGTTCTTTCTTTTTTTCTTTTTTTTTTTTGAGACAGGGTCTCGCTGTGCAGTTCAGGCTGGCTTTGAGCTCACTTTGTAGCCCAGGCTGGCCTTGAACTCCCAGCGATCCTCCTGCCTCAGCCTCCCGAGTGCTGGGATTACAGGTGTGCACCACCACACCCAGCATGTGATTCTGGCCACTTTCTGCAGCAGTTCCGGAGTCCTCTTTCCTCGATGTCTTCACAGGAAGTGATAAAAAATGCAGTGAATGCTGCTCCAAGCGCCATCTGACAGAAAGGAGCTGGTAACCACAACAGAGCCCTCACCCACCCTATTCCTCGGATCTGGCACCGCGCAGCTTCTGGCTCCTTCCCAAAGTCAAGATGACCATGGAAGGGAAATGTTTTAAATGGATTCAGGACATCAAGGCGGCAGGGCGGCGTAACACGTGAGAAAGTTCAGATGTTCAGAGCTGCTTTAGAAAGAGGCAAGAGCGACGGGGTGAGTGTGTCTGAGGCCAGAGGGAGGATGCTGAGGTGGATTCATGGCAGCGTCTTACTCTAAAACATTTTTTTTTTAATTTACACATTCATTGTATTTTCCCATCACATTGTGTGACGAGGTGATTGAGCGTGGAGCTTGCATCCATGGTACCTGTTGGAGCCCTGCCTATGTAACGGCGCCCCTGGAGTTGTGCAGGACAAGCTGACCGGTTTGTGGTAACCACTGCTGCCCCGGCTCCCTGGTACAGTGTCTCCCACCCCTAGTAAATGGTGGGACAGTTGTCCTAGGATCCACCGCCTCATTCCTGAAAGGCCCTCAACCACCCTGCATCACACGTACCTTGTTTCCTGGTCCTCTGTGTCAGGAGCAGACCTGTGAGTGAGGGAAGGAAGCTCAGCGTTAGTTGCCCATTTTGAGGAAGAGGACATCTTCCACCTGTTGGCTGAGGCTGTGAGCCTCAGGAAGGCTGATAGCGTTTCGTCCTGGTCTGGTACAAAGCAGGCATCAGTAAGCATCTGCTGCGTAACAAATAAGCCAGGATGTATAGTTGTGAGAAAGTCAGGCAAGGCCCTTTACTGCCACAAAATGAAACCACTAAGTTGCTCAGAGTCTGTAGGGCGTGGAGGGGCTGAGTCTGCACACAGGGGCTTGGACAAAGATCCCCTTCTGGAACCTTCATCTGAGGGCAGAACTTTGTCTCCTATGCAGGCTGGATGCATAGAGGAGAGGGGGGAGGGAACTTCAGGGGACCCTGAGGACAGAAGAGGCTAAGGGGGACAGCATGTCCTTTTGGGGTGGCAGAATGTTCTAGAAGTAGATGGTGGCAATGATTGTATAATATTACAAATGTACCAAATGCCCCCTGTATTGCCCATTTTTATTTTATTTTATTGAGGCAGGGTCTCGCTGTTAGCCCAGGCTGGCCTCAAACTTGCAGCGATCCTCCTGCCTCAGCCTCCTGAGTGCTTGGATTATAGGTGTGTGCCACCATACTTGGATACCCAGCTTATTTTCTGCTCCTCAATGAGTCCTGTCCCCTTCCCTTTGGGACCTGGCGGCCCCTGGCAGCTGTCACCTCTGCCCCATGGCCACCTGCGTGCTTACCTGTCGTCCTCCAGCACTGCCTCTGGCTTTTCTTCAGATCTGGGCAGGACAAATTCTGGCTGGGGCCTGGAGCTGTGGACAGACAGAGCCAGGTGACAGGAGGTGGCCTGCTGTCCTAGGCTGGGGCCTTGGGGCAGCCACCAGCCTCTCTGATCATTTGGCCAGAGGCCTACAGATAGTTTGGAGAGTTTGTTTTCGTTTTTGGTTTTGGTTTTGGTTTTGGTGGCACTGGGGACTGGGAGTCGGGAGCCCACACTGAGCTAACCCAGCCCTTTTTATTTTATTTTGAGACAGGGCTGTGGAGGACCCCATGGGCGACGCTCCTTGAAGGAAGAGCAGTTGTCTCCGTCTTGGCTGAGCCTGGCCCCGTTTCCATGTACTGATATGTACAGAGCTGGCTGGGACTTTTCCTCACCCCTTCAGGTGGCTTTAAGCAATGCGAATCGGTCCAGCCGAGGTGCTGATGTGTGGTCTTTGAGGCAAGGAGACAGGGCAGTGTGTCCCCGCCCCTGTAGCTCTCAAAAACCGCGTGTGAGCCAGGTGGGATGGGAGCCGTGCTCCACGCTGCGGCTGGGATCGAGCCGCGAGATAGAGGCTGTGACCTCCCGGGGCATAAAAGATCACACATCAGAGCTGAGGCACTGGCCCCAAAACATAGATCCCACCTCAGTCGTGTCACGCAGGTTACTCCTCTGCACATCCTTCGCTCTGCATACTGCAGAGGGGATTCGGGCCTCCTACCCAGCCCAGCTCATGGCACTCTCCTGCTTCCCGCCCTTCTCACAGTCACCCAGCCTCAGGCCACTCCCTTCTTCACGAATGAGTAAAACCCTCGGCCCTGGGTCGAGGCCTTGGTTCCGATAGCCATCATCATGGCTGGACTCAGGACCCCTTGGCTCCCCATAACTACAAATATGCCTTAGTGTCTTTATTCTCACCACGGGTTGGAAGTGGTAGATTGGAACTGACTTGCTAGAATTCCAATAACTTTTCAATTGGATTATAAATATAAACATCCTGGACTGTGATGAGGACCGGAAAGGGCTCTCTATAAGGTTTTGCTAAATTTCCCAGGCTGGTGTCAAACTTGTAATCCTCCTGCCTCAGCCTCCCTAGTGCTGGGATTCATAAAAATAGTTTTACTGGTGCACAGTTGTGCCCACTCATTCCAGCTGCACTAGGAAGCCAGCAGGGAGAGCCATGAGCCACCTGGGGACAGGCACTGGTCCTCGCTCAGTGGAGCCACTGGGGACTTCTGTGTCCCCAGCAGAGCCTGGCTCAGCCCCCAGCCCTGAGTAGCTGTCACAGAGCCCAGCCTGCACTGACCTCTCTCTCCTGGCTTGGAGTCTTTCCTCTTCGTACCTGAAAGAGAGGAGAAGGTGTCAGACTCAGCCCTCTGCCTCTGGCGGCCGGCATACTTCCTGGGGACCTTCCTTCCCTTTGGGAGTGGAGAGCGATGTCCGCTCACACAGCAGCCTGTGGAGCGAGGAGGACAAGCCAGCTGCAGCTTGGGCAGCGGCCTGGCCCTGACCAGCTGTGCCTGTTTCCTGGGGCAGAGAAACTCTGGTTTCTTGGCACAGCCTGGCATCTGTGCATAGATGGAGGGGACAGCTGCCCAGCCTCACAAACGTCCCCAGCGACACAGAGCTGTGCTTGGAAATGGCTGAGATGGTCAGTATATTTGGTTCTTTGAGGCAGGGTCTCGCTATGGAGTCCAGCCTGGCCCAGGGCTCACAGCGATCCTCCTGCCTCAGCCTCCCAAGTGCTGGGATGACGGGGGTGCACCACCATGCCCAGCTCCGAAACGGTTAATTTTATGTTCAATGGGAAACAGTGGGGAGGGGTTGAGGATGTCCTGCAGGGTAAGAAAGTGCGGGAGACAGTTCCTATCTCACCCCAAGCTCGGGGTGGACACTCCCTCTCGGGAGTGTGGGGTGCACAGCGACAAATCTAGCACCCAGATCCACTGCTCTCATCACTGCTGGCCTTGGGGGGACTGGGTGTATCGGGGCAGGGACCACCCTGACACTCACTGCAGGACGCAGTCCGGAATCTGCACATGCTCCATGGGGATGAGCTGCTCCAGCTCCTCCAGGCTGTGCACGTACTGGATCTTATTGATGAACTTGACGCTGGTGGGAGGAGAGGCGTGAGGGCAGTCTCCGTGCAGCCACGGCAACCCCCACAGGGCTGCACTCCCTCAGAGGTCAGCACCCGAGCTCCAGCCTCCCACCCTACCCTGGGAAGAAGGAATATAACCCTTCTTGCTTGGTAACAGAGTGACAGTCCTGGGTTATTTTTCTTGTTGTTTGTTTTTTGTGGTACTGGGGATGGAACCCCAGGTCCCTCCACATTGCTAAGCAATTGTGGTACCCCTGAGCAACACCTTCGGTGTTTTTTTATTTTTTATTTTGAGACAAAGTCTTCCTAAACTGCTCAGGCTGGGCTCCAATGTGAGATTCTCCTGCCTCAGTCTCCCAGGGTGCCAGGATGCCCTGCATGTGTTACCACATGGCTAGGACCCGGGCCTCTCCTCTGTCTCTCACTTTTTTTTTTTTTGGTACCAGGAATCGAACTCAGGACCTTGTGCTTGCCAGGCAGGCGCTTGTGCCCCTGAACCATATTCCTGGCCCTTCTCTCGCTCCTCTTTCCCTTCCAATCTGGACCTCTTCAATAGGATAAACCCTAACGGAGCACATCACAGCACTTTCAAGTCCTATGAGGCATTTCATGAGTCACTGAACCTGAAGGCGGCCTTGGGGACACGCAGGTCACGCATGCATTAGGTCACTGTACTGCTGAGCCCTGGATGTGGATGGGGCCCCTCACCGATGACACCTTTGGGGGCACAGTGGATCCAGCACAGAATCTGCAGCCGATGGAACCTGGCTCACCTCCAAAGAGGGTGGAGGGCCGTGACCTTGCTGGGTGACTCTGGGTGACAACTTTGAGGTACGTTTTCTCCTCTGTGAGATGAGTGATGGCATTGACCTCCCAGGGTTGTAGATGTAAATATTAAATAGGGCTAACGTGCAAAGGCTGGGGCTATGGTTGCACCTGTCATCCCAGCTACTTGGGAGGCTGAGGCAGGAGGAGCAATTGAGTGCAACCTGGGTGACATAGTGGGCCCCCTCCCCCCAAAACATTCAATAGGTGAGAGCCAGTCTTTCCCTGCGGCTCCAGTACTGGGGATTGAACCCAGGGCCTTTGCACTGAGCTCCACCCCAAGACATTTTCTATTTTGTGACAGGGTCTTACTAAATCGCTCAGACTGAGCTCAAGCTCACAGTCCTCTTGCCTCAGCTTTCAGAGTTGCTGGGATGATAGACATGTGCCGCCACGCCTGATCTGTTTGTGCATATGTCTTTAGTACATTGAATTCTGACTGGAACCCAGCCCTTGGGGTCAGACATGAAGTTCACTGTGGCATCTTTATGTCGGCCCTCAAAGAAGACTTGCAGTTTTGGAGCATTTTGCATTTTGGATTTCCGGATTGGTGACGCTCAGTATATACATAACATTTAAGACAGCTTGAGGCAGTGATGCCTCTGTGTGCCAGAGAGGCTGCCAGTGCATCAAAACACACCCAGGTCTACGCCACGGCCCTGTGGGACCAGCACCAGCCCAGGCTCCCCGGCTCACCTGATGAAGGGCCGGGAGATGGCCAGCACGGTCCGGATGAACCAGGATGGGTGGACGATGATCAGGGACTTCAGATTTTTCCGCAATCTGTATGGGATACAGAGGGAGCAGGATGTCCTCCTGGGGCAGGCCTTGGGGACGGGGAGCCCAGGAGGGACAGGAGCAGGGATGGAGGGCCACACACCACTACTCGTCACTCATGCCTGCATCTCCAGCCTTTTTAAACATTTTTAAATTCTCACTAGGTTGCTAAGTCTCTCAGCCTGGGCTCAAACTTGTGATTCTCCTGCCTCAGCCTCCCAGAGTCGGCTCCAGGTGTCAGTCAAATCTCTACCCTGCTCCAGGAGTTGTAAGTCCCATGCGGGATGCAGACACAGCCCCTGTGTCCCTAAGAGCCCACAGTGGATGGAGAGGGAAGGACCGCTGCAGCGCAGAGCAAGCAGTCAGCGTTTAAAGCAGCTAAGACCATATTGTCACCATCTAGTGCTGGAAAAAGGGCCCAAATGGTCTTTGAGCCTCTCCACTGACCTGAGTGCACAGATGTGCTGGCTCTGCCAACTTTAAAATTATTCTGAGGTTACTGATGATAATCAAGAGGTAGACACAGCCCAGGGCCCACAGACAGAAGGACAGACACACATGCAGTTGGGTCCATCTACATGCTGGAATATTACTCAGCCAGGAAAAGGGAAGGAAATCCCAACACCTGCCACAGCGTGGATGGACCTTGAGGCCATGCTGCTCAGGGAACTGAGTCAGTCACAAAAGGACACATACGGCGGGGCACCACTCCCAGGGAAGCCCCAGGGTCATCAGATCCACAGAGACAGGAAAGAGGATGTGGTACTGGGCTGGGGAGGGGATGGAGGCTCAGTATGGGGAGGTGGAAAGCCCGGAGTGGACGGCGGGCACGCCGTGCAGTGAGCATACTTAATATCGCCAATGGTGCACTTACAGCCTTTGAGCTGACCTGGAAATAGCAAAACTGCAGATGTCGTAAGTTAGATTAAAGTGACACCACATTAAGGAAGAGTAGACCCTTAATCCATTGTGACCGGGTCCTAGAAAAGGGGGCCTTTGGACATAGACACCCACCCAGGGGGAATGTCGTGTGACAATGGAGGCAGAGAGCGGGGTGACAATTTGACAAGCTGAGGACACTGAGGACTGCAGCTACCACCAGACTCACGACCGAATGGCTTCTCCCTGGCAGCCTCAGAAGGTCCATGCAGGAGGCCGAGGCAGGAGGATTGCTGTGAGTTCGAAGCTGGTAATAAACGTGGGTCATTTAAACTACCTGGTCTGCACTGCTTTGTCACGGCATGGCAGCCCCACCAAACTACAGCGCCACTTGCGAGCTCAAGGTCACTTGTCCTGTGTGAATTTTCTTTTTTAGTTTTCTTTTTGTTTTGTTTTGTTTTGAGACAAGGTCTTATAGGCAGTGCAGGCTGGCCTTGAACTCACTGCAGTCCTCCTGCCTCAGCCTCCTGAGTGTTGGGATGGCAAGCGTGCACTACCACACCCAGCACTGTGTGAGGTTTTGTATCTCCACTTGCTCTGCCTGTCCGTAGCCAGCCTCTCACCTCCTATCGATCATCTGGTAACACTTCTTCAGCCAGCCGATGCCCGGCATCCTCCTCCGGGGCGTGGCGCCATTCAGATACACGATCATGTAGTCCTCGGCCACCAGCAGCTCCAGGCTGCTGATCACGTACCTGGTTGGGGGTGCAGAAGGTGGAGGCACATTGTCAGGACGCGGCTACCATTATATCGAGCATTTTATATGATTTCATTGAATGCTTCCCGATCCCAAGAGTGTGGTGTTAGTGCAGCTGGGAACAGAGAGTGGAGACAAGCAGATGCTTGATCCATTCCAATATTTAGGAAGCCTGGGGTCCATATCTCCTAGGGTGACCGGCAAAATCCTTTCCCCCAACCCAGTCTCTGCCTCTCTAACTGGGGAGATGGGGCTCAATGGCGGCTGAGGGAACAGTGATGGTTATGATGATGATGGTGATGGTGATGGTGGTGATGGTGATGGTGGTGATGGTGGTGGTGGTGGTGGTGGTGGTG